ACTTGGCCGGGGAACCCACTCGCAAAATTTTGGCGCCGGAGCTTGCTTGAGTGCCGAGTTGAAATATCCGGACAGGCGCACACACACCGGGGTCGTCGCAGTATGCGTTTTCGCATTTGCATATTATGCAAAAACGCATAATAAATGGCGGCGCGCACTAGAGCAGCCAGTGCGATCAGCGTTTTGTCCAATTCTTTCGTCCACCTAACGATTGCTTGCTAATAATTTTTAATGCTTTGCACTTTAGTCTGTGCAAAAATAGCTGAAATACTATCTGTTCCCTAAGCTGCGGAATTTCCCACTAAAAATTTCATGCACCGGTACGTTAAAGCTGAATTTGAAACGTCAAAGGGTTGAGTATTCTTCTACAATTTCAGTCTCATAATTTTCTGACTTTCGAGTGATTTTTGCGGCAAAAATTTCACGTGTTCGTATGTGGTAGCTCGGCATACTTAGGAATTGAATTCGAGTTTGTGAAGCTCCTGCTTAGGCGGAAAACATTCTCCTGAAATTTTCAGCCTCCTACCTCTTCTGGCTCCCGAGATAGATTTTCCCCGCCTAAATCTTCACGGGGACGTTGAGACCCAGACATTCTTGAAAGCTGTATTTGAATTTGCCGGGTCGTATGTGAGCAGAGGACACTACGCCAAAATTTCAGCTTCCTAGCTTCCATGGTTCCCAAGATAATAATTTTCCTCGCCGAAACTTTCGCGAGTCGTAAGTGGCACCCAGATGTAGGAGAAGGCTGAATTCAAAACTACACGGTTGTATTAGGGCAAGGGATATTATCATAAAATTTCAGCTTTCTAGCTTTTGCAGTTTACGAGATAATAAAACCCTGCCAAAAATTCCACGAGGCCGTACGTGGTACCCAGAGTTGCGTGAGGGTTGAATTCAAATTCGCGGGATCGTGCGTTGGTAGGAGACATCGTCCTAAAATTTCAGATTCCCAACTTTCGCGTTCCCAAGATAATAATTTTCCCCACCAAAACTTTTACAGGACGTGTCATCCGGGGGTACGGGAAGGCTGAATTTAAATTTGCGGAGTCGTACGTGGGCAAGAAACACTTTCCCAAATTTTCAGCTTCCCGTTGAAAGTTGCGGACGAGATGCATGGACACAAGCATAAGCAACCCCGTGATAATATGCGTTTTGTCAAAACGCGTAAAAACTGAAGCTTAGTAGCCTAGGTCTAAAAGGCTTGACGATGTGGCTGTATATCAGTGGCTTTGGGGATTCACATGAAAGGCCAATGAAGTTTAAGGTTGCACAGTAAATCATACACTTTGTAGAGTATGTCGAGGAACAAAGAGACCGTCAGCGCGAATAAGATGTATGCAAGGGCAACGGGTGAGCTAAGTATGTGCAGAATTGTGTCGGCCATTGACGGTTCCACGTCGATAATCGGGCTTGCTGGCGAAGTTAAGCTGTACGAGAAGAAATATGTGAATACCATACCCACTGAGCCGAACAGTGCAATCCAGGACATCTGAAGAATGCGAACGATTAGAACAACACGTGACTGTGATCTTGACTGTTGCTCGAAATGTCATACATAGAGTTCCGTTCTTGCAAAAGTACTGTAGTGCTGTCAGAAGCCAAAACTCTTTTCGTGTTCTGTAAGAGTGAAGGCACTCGGGAAGTAATCCAGTCACCTACTAGAAAGATTGTCGATGGTCCGTTTTTTCGAAGTTGCTTAAAATTAAACTAAAGGCAAGTTTTGCTCCCTGGTATTTTCGTACGATTTACAATTGGAAAAAAATTGGCCAACGCACGGGCTGCCCGTGCGAAGATGCGTTTTTTGCAGAGTTCCCCGCA